TATTCCGTCAACTCTGAAATAAATTAAAATAAAAAATTAAAAGTTTAAAAACACTCCCTGATATGATTTACCTTTCTTCATGAACTGATAATCATTTATAGTTATATATTTATTCAGTAATCGGTTTGTCTTTTCCTCAGCTAGCAACTCCATGTGGTCAGAGACCACGTTTGTTTTGTTTACCACTTTCCCTAGTGTCCACCAGAGTGCTTGGCATATAGTAGAGGCAGATAGACACTGTCCAAGAGGTATGGTAGAACCCTTTTGGATTATAAATTAATATAGTTATATAGGAGCAAAATAGCACTACTTATTATTAGTAGAACAAATTTTAATTTTGGAATTGACTAAAATTTCACAATTCTGAGTCAGGAAGCATCTCAGAGATGTTGAAGGTAGGAAGCCAGGCAAAGGTTTCAAAATATTATGACTTTTAACTATTAAGATAGTATGAATTCAAAAGTTTCTGCTTAAATATTTTAAATTATCTATCTATATTTAAATTAATTTCTTTTCAAACATTTTAGATACTCAAGATGACGAAGTGGCAGAAACTGTTTACAGAGACAGGAAGAGGCAGCTACCTTTGGAACTTACAGTGGAACTAACAGAAGAGACATTTAACGCGACAGTCATGGCTTCTGACAGCATAGTGCTCTTCTATGCCGGGTGTGAGTAGGAGCCTTTAGAAGAAATTATCTGTATTATATACTAGGACATCTAAAAGTACACAGATTTAATTTTTCATTCTGCATATCACACGTTGTAAAAATGACAGAGCTTTCATATGTCTCAGGTTATCTACACACATTGAGGCATTCACTTCTAACTGGTTCTGGGATTGTACAGCCGGTTTATATGTGATTTACAGCTTAAAGGCTAATTACTCAGAGATCTGTCACAGAAACAAAGAACTGAGTCCCCATGTTCTCACTCATAAGTGGATCCTGAACATTTATCATGACACTACAAGAAAGGGATTGGCTGTAGCGGGACACTCCCAGAGAGGTTGGGGGGGGTTGGCACATAGCATCAATAAGGGCACCTCATCCCAAACCAGGCCAAGTGAGGACCCAAGGGAAGCCCAAACTTCACCTGTATGATGACCGCTTATGTACCTAATCCTGAATTGTACTCCACATCTTTAAAATAATAATTGTAAAAATTAAAGGTTAGTGATTAAGCTAGATGTTAATTTTTATAAACTTTTATTCAAGCCAATGGTTTTGAATGTATTAACAGTTCTTAAAGATTTGTAGTAAATTTATTGCTTTTATCTTCAAATAATAGCCATTCAGCTATATTCCTTGCAGTACAAATGCAGAAAGTTGTCTGCCTTTGAAACTCCCTTAAATGTTTGGACCTTCTTGAGGGCTGTAGATTAAGATACTTCTCATTAGGAAATAACAAAGCCGGGTTCGGTGGCTCGGCCTGTAATCCCATGCCTTTGGGAGGCTGAGGTGAGCGGATTGCTTGAGTCCGCGGGTTCAAGACCTGCCCGGGCAGCGAGACCTCATCTCTACAATACATCAGAATAAATCAGCCGGACATGGTAGCGCACGCCTGTAGTTCCTGCTACTTGGAAGGCTGAGGCGGAAGGATCGCCGGAGCCCAGCAGGTCAAGGCAGCGGTGGCCGGGAGCGGCCACTGTACTCCAGTCTGGGCGACAGAGTGAGACTCCAACTCAAAAAAAAAAAAGAATAACAAATTTGGGAAACCCCATAAATCTATATGTTTGTTATATCTAAGTGTGGGTGCTTTGGAGATACACATGCATTTTGTTGAATTTTTTTTCATGTAGGGCAAGCAGTATCCATGGCATTTTTGCAGTCCTATATTGATGTGGCAATTAAATTGAAAGGTATTGTACTATGGTATGCATGCTTATTTTCCTGATTCTGAGCTGTAGCTATTTGTAAAACTATATGTTATGTTAAAGAGGTAGAAAGCTATATAACATAAAATTTCAGGTTATTATGTTTGTGTCTCCAAGGTTAAGTTAATGAGCCAAGAGTTTCCAAAGCGTCCAGAAGCATTCACTAGGATTTGTCTTCATGGAACTGTTTATAATAGAAAGTAGAAAACTTATACATTGCATACTTGTGGCTACACAGTTAATTCAGGAATCTTTTGGCCGAATTCAGTCTTTCAGTGACCATTTTTTGAGTGTCTGCTCTGTGCTAATTACTATTAAATGTTGAGAATAAAAATTTGGCAGATAAAACCCAGTCTCACACTCTAATGAGAGATGAAAGATCCCAGTGTTTTTGAAGTTAGTTTACTTCTCATAGACTAGATCTTTTTAAAACTATCATGAAACCAGATCCAGTTGTAGGCAAATATGAATCCAAGCAATGAACTTTAACTCATAATGTCTATTCTGTCATCTCAGCAAAGAAATAGGGAGAAGTAGGGAGGCCTGTTAGTAAGACAGAGATGATGATGGGTTAGGTGTCCACAGTGTTTTAGTCATTTGAATAAGATGGAATGGACCATGCTTTGTCTCTGTGATATCATTTTCTCCTACTGTTTATCTTGTAAATAGAAGATATTATGGTTAAATAGGCATATTCCTGATTACATATCTACCATTTAATTTTGGGAACACTAGCTTATAGTCTCTTTCATTATTTTGCAAGTTCCTTAGGGGTAGGTAGTGTGTCTTATATCAGCTTACTGAACTTGGGATATTTTGACGTAAATTGAAAAATATCTGAGTTTTAATAATTTTTGAATAGATGAATAAGCTAATATAGTAGAATTTCATAATTTTTCATTTAGGGGAAATGAATGCTAATGTACAACATACACATTGTTGTACTTATAAGTTGTACAATTTATACATTGGGGCTTTTGTGAGCTCATGAAATTGATGCTAGAAATTCAACCCTAAATGAACCATTCTTTTTATTTCCCAAGCACATTTGATCCAACTTTTGATAATCTTGTTATTGAGTGAAGGGATACTTAAATCTATACATAGTATGATCCCCAATTATTTTTTAAAAAGCAAACCCTGTTATTTGCTTTCAGATTTTCCTTTGTAGTTGGAGTATATGAACAAATTTAGGTTTCTTCTTTAATATTCTCTAACCTCTTTGGCAAATAGTTAGAAGAAAAGAAAAAGAAAAAATATAAAAGCCATGATAAAATAGTAATTTGATACTATCCTTCAATAATAGAGTTAATGATCACCCCCTGAACTCATTTGGTCAACACCAGATGATAATGGAAAAAGATTCCCTTACTTTCTTCTCTTTTAATGATTTAAAAAATAGACTAAATCAGCCAGGTGTGGTAGCGCATGCCTGTAATTCCAGCTACTTGGAAGGCTAAGGCGGAAGGATCGCCGGAGCCCAGCAGGTCGAGGCTGCGGTGGCCGGAAGCGGCCACTGCACTCCAGTCTGGGCAACAGAGTGAGACTCCAACTCAAAAATAATAATAATAATAAAATAAAAAAATAAATAAAAAATAGACTACTTATCCCTTCAATGCAAGGGATGTGAGTTCCATGTGTTTTTAGAATTAAAAAGCAGATAATCAACCCGAAAACTTGCTTTCCTTTTCATTGACTGTGTTCTTTATGAATAACAATTGTGTTAATAACTAGTTATCAGATCAATAGACACCTTTGGAAGTTCAGGGGCTTAATGTGAAAATGCACGGTGTATGTAATTATAGTGTTTTCTGTTTGTGCTACAACCTATAATATAACATTGTAAATTAGGAAAATATTGTAACACTTTGGGCACTTAGTTCTATAATCTTTCACGTTGACTGTGGGAAAAAGCAATTTTTCTTCTCAAAGACAATGAAGAGTATATTTTACTCAGTCACAAGGTGGCAGCAAATATCAAATTTTTATACTTACGTCGCATCTGTATCTGCAAGAATCTATTTTTTCCCTTTACATTAGGAATCTATTTGAAATAAAGTATACGGGATATAATACTATAGTCATCTTAAAACATTAGACTATTCTAGTTGAAACATGAGTTAATATTGAAATCATTTTTCAAGAAAGAAAATTAAATTTTCAATTGGTAACTTCAATATAAGTAGTCGTAACTTTTAATGATATATATCAGTATGATTTTTCCAGTTTTAAAGAAAACATTAGAGTTTGTCTTTTCAACTGTAGAGACCAAGGAATAACATTTTTAGCAGCGTTAGACATGCTAAAGATGCTTATTGAAGGGAAAGAACTGCAGCTTTAAGAGCAATATATTTGATATTTGGATGGCGGTATATAATATGGTAGTTTGTATAAATAAGCATCACCAGATGAAATGATTAAAGGATAAGAAAACTTTGGTAAAAGCTACTTGCGCACGCATGTTTATTGCAGTATTATTTACAGTAGAAAAAACATGGAACAAACTCTGCTGCCCATCTAAAGAGGACTGGATCCAAAAAATGTGGTACATATACACAATGGAATATGACACAGCAAAAAGAAGGACAAAATTATGAACTTCAGAGCAACTTGGATGGACTTAGAGGCTTCATAATGAGTGATCTATCACAGAAACAAACAACCGAGTATCATAGGTTCTCACTCATAAGCAGACCTTGAAAAGCTATCATAATACTGTAAGAAAGGGATGGGCAGTAGTGGGAAACTGCCAGGGGGCAGGGCACACCTCATCAACAAGGTACCTGCATAATGAACATTCGTATACGTCATCCTGAATTGTACCCCACGTCTTTAAAATAAAAAATTAAAAGAAAAAAGAAAACGTTGGTAGAGGAGCCATTTAGCAGGTAGGATTGTGGAAGGAATAGGATTTATATTTGTTTATATGCTCACAAACTATTCAGGTATTTATATCCATTAATGTAAAAATTTTCAATTTGTTTATGAAGAAATCTCAGTGTGCATTCTATGCATTTTATTGCGTGCATACTATGCCACAGACATTGTACTATCCAGTGGACATATAGTGATGAATAAGACAGACTATACTGCCTGCATTATCAAACTATTAGTTAACACGAAGTCTAAAGTGATAAGTTATTTCATCTATGAGAACTAATCAAGAATTTTTAAAACTATAATTTGCAGTATTAAAAACTTTTGATGATAAAATATCACATTTTACAGTTTTAATCACAATTTTAATTTAATATCATTAGGTTACATTTAGACTATATCCTACATTGATATGTAATGATTCTTTCTATGATCTAATATGACATTACAACTTTTTATTAGAATTTATTCTTTTGATAGCTGAGTTGTGTGGTGCTTGTTTTATTTAGCGTTTGATCTTTTTCCACACAGTAATATACATATTTTAAAGAACTTTACATCTTTTATTAAAGAGCAAGTAGGAATTTCTGTTTGAGGTTCTATGTGTTTTCTTAGGCTGAAAAAAAAATAATCTTTAAACTGCATAGGGACCTGGAGTCCTAGATGAATTTCACATGTGTCATTTATTCACATGCATGTTTAAGGGGTTCTAGATACTAGAAAACCGGTGATGAGTAAACAGACACAGTCCCTGCTCTCAGGGAGCTCTCACGGTCAAGACAGACCTTCATCAGATAATCACGCAAATGAGTACATAGTGATATAATGAGTACATAGTGATATCAGGAGATGGAAAGGAGTTCTATAGGAACTTATATCCAAGGAGCCAGATGCAGACCAGTGTAGTCACACCCAGTGAGATAGACCTGACTCTGCAAAGGCTGGTGGGAGTGGGCCGATTCCAAAGGAGAAGTGAGTTTTGAAAAACTGTCTCTAGCATGAGTGTAGACACATCGAAATCAAGGGACTGAATTGGAAGCCTGTTGTGGTTTTCCAGCAAAAATGGTGGCCAGAGTAGTGGCAGTAAACAGAAATGGACAGTAAATAGAGATATGTAAAATTTAGGTGGTAAAATTGAAAAAACATGCTGATGAATTAGACATGGGGAGTTTAGGATTGCACATGGGGAGCTTAGGATTGCGGAGACCTGGAAGATGATGCTTTGCTTTCTGAGTTGTCTGAGAATGGCAACATTCAGCAACATACACAGGAAGCAAATCATATTGGGTTTTAGACATGATGACTTTGAAGATGTTTCCATTCAGGAGAAAACAAAAGGCAGTACGTCTGGAGTGTCAAGGAGGAGTCTGGGCCAAAGACATACATTTAGGATTCATTAGATTGTTGATGGCTATTGAGGTTCTCTAGGAAGAGAGTGTACAGCCAGAACAGAGGAAGCTTAAACCGAGCCTTGAGAGACTCTCAACCCTGAGGGTAGAAGAACTTGCAAAAAGGGCCAAAAAGAAGAAGCTAGAGCAGGGGGAAAAAGCCAGTAAGGGAAGGTGCTTCAAAGATCAAGGGAAGGGAACGTAAGCAGAGGTGTCTCATGCTGAGAGCTTAAATAAGAATAGGACAGAAAAATATTGAAAATCTTAAGCAAACGAGTTTTCTATATTAATGATTGCAAAATGTGCATTTTCCTTTTATTTAGGCACACCCAGTATGCTTCTTACTAGAGTAAACTGTGCAGATTGGTCTGATGTATGTACTCAGCAAAATGTGATTGCATTTCCTGTTGTAAAGATGTACAAGGAAGGCGAGAACCCAGTATCTTATGCTGGTATGCTAGGCAGTGAAGATCTCCTAAAATTTATCCAGCTGTAAGTATTCAGCTTCACTATAAGGTTTCTCAATGTTTAGCTTTGTAGAAGTTCTAATTCTCATAATTTGTGGACATGCTTTACATAGGCTAAGGAGGCTACTAGCATTGAGATCACAAAATCAATATTGATAAAGATTCTATGCATATTCCATCACTTTTGGAGAGATAATAACTTTGTTTTATGAAGCTATTTTTAAAGAATAATATTTGATTACCTGTATTTTACCAGATATTTATCCTATGTAAAATATTGTTTGCTAGGTTCAGAATTTTCCAAACTGAAAAAAGTATTTTTAAAAATTAATTGTTAATATAGTTATATATTCATCCAGCAACAGGATTTCATATCCAGTGAACATAGCCTCGACCCAAGAAGCAGAAGAATATTTAAATGGGGAACTATATCAAGACCTGATCTCCTATTCTAGTGTGTCAGTCCTGGGACTATTTAGTCCAACCATGACAACAGGTAAGTAGAGTTGAGCTTTTGATCTATACAGTGTGTAGTTAAACACTCATTGCTTTCTAGCTTTTTTTTGAAGAGTGTCTTTTTAAATTGTAGAGTATTTCAAAAGCACAGAGAAGTGTGAAGAAAAAATATGTAATCTAGTTATTCAGAATATACACGCTGTTAAATTTTGATGTAACTTCTTCCATCTTTTTTCTGCATATGTATGTATTGCATATTTATGTATGTTTTAATGTAATTGGGCTAAAGCTGTGTATCTGGGTTAGTATCTTTTTCTTTTTATTTAACATTACTTTGGTGTATGTTTTCCATGTGATTAATGTTTTTCATAGACATTATGGCTACATAATATTTAATTGAATGAATATACTGTTTTATAGCATATATGCTATAATTTATGTAACTACTTACACACAATATTTGTGGGGTTTTTTCCTGTATGAGAAGATCATTCTTTAGCTTCTTAACCATTTTTAAGTGCCTATTTAGCAAGTATTAAGAACGTTCACATTGTTGTACACCTCATCTCCAGAACTGTTTCATCTTGCAAGACTGAAACTTCAACAACTCTCCATTTTCCCTTCCTCCCAGGCCCTGGGAACCACCACTGTACTTTCAGTTTGCATGAATCTGACTGCTCTGGGCACCTCATATGAATGGAATCCTGTGGGACTGGCCTTTTTCTGACTGACTTCTTTCAATTAGTATAATGTCCTTAAGGTTCATCTGTGTTGTGCATGTGTCAGAATTTCCTTCCGTTCTAAGACCAAATAATATTCCATCGTATGTATGTACTGCATTTTGTGTATCTGTTTATGCAGCGACAGGCACTCGGTTTGCTTATAGGCTACTGTGAGTAATGCTGCTGTGGGCGTGGTTGTGTAAATCACGCTTTGGGACTTGGCTTTCGATTCTTTTGAATTTATATACCCAGAAGCAGAATTGCTGGGTCATGTGGTAATTCTCTTTTTAATTTTTTCAGGAATCACAGTATTATTTTCTGTGCTGCCTACACTGGTTTACATTCCTACCAAGAGCATACAAGGGTTTCTTCAACCTCCTTGCCAATACTTATTATTATTTTGATAGTAGCTATCCTAATGGGTGTGAGGTGATAACTCATTGTGGTTTAAATTTGCATTTTCCTAATAATTAGTGATGTTGAGCATCTTTTTATTGTGCTTGTTGGCTGTTTGTGTATCTTCTTTGGAGAAATGTCTATTCAAGTTCTTTCCACATTTTGAGTAGGATTACTTATATTTTTGTTGTTGATTGCAGGAGTTCTTTGAGTATTCTGGATGTTAACCCTTTACTAAGATTTGATTTGCAAATATTTTCTCCCATTCTGTAGGTTGCCTTTAACTATGTTGACTGTGTCCTTTAATTTTTCTTTTTTTTTTTTTCGTTTCTTTTTTTAAAGTTTTTATCCATTTAGTTATTTCAGCACATAGGATGATGTAGGGGCCAACTTATTTTTTTCAAAACACTTAATACTTGTTCTTCTTTCTCTGCACTTACATGTGATTTCACCATCACAATATTAAATCCATATCTACATATATGTATATATATCTGTTTAAATATTTTCTATTTCATTCACTTTACCTACTGATACTTATTCTATGAGTTTTATCATACAAGTTAAGTATATAATTGGACAAATCTTGTCTTTTTGTCTTTACATTTTCTTTTCTTTTTGCCTATTGATTTTTCTAGGTGAACATTAACCATTTATATTTATTATCTTAACTGATTTGGATATTTGCTGTTTGTTTTATGCTTCACTGGTGTTTCTTTAGTTATTTGTTTTTATTTTTGAAATACGAAGCATGCTTCTTTTGTTTGTAGTTTCCTCAGGACAGAGAAGATGTTCTTTAAAAAAAAAAAAAATTGAACCTATAACGTTATAGACCATTTCATTAGCTGTTGAATTAACCAAAAAAGAACAACAAGGACCATTTCAGTGATTTGATTCCTTCTTGTAGAAGATACTTTTAATGTCTTGTACGGGGTTTTTTTACTCTATGAAACACTCTGGTCTCTTATTACGGACTCAGATGATCATTATTGCTGAGTTGTTTTTTTTTTTTTGCATTATGTATTTCTCTTTCACAAATTCTTGCGTTAACTTTCTCAAAGTTCTATTAGGTTGGAATATTGCTGCAAAATTGAAAAACGTTTACAACGAACACCCATATACTCACCACCTACCTTCTGCCATTAGCATTTTGCTGTATTTGCTTTAGAACATACATGTGTGTCTGTTTGTATATTAATTCATCATATTTTTGATACATTTTAAATTAATGTTTTTGCATTCAACTGTGATATGCTTATAACAATTATTTTTACTTTGAAAGTTTTACATTGCATCATAAACTGTTGTGTCCTTTTAATATCACATCTTTTTTCTTAGGAATGTGTCTGTCAGTAGCATTTCAAGGAAGGGTACACACAGGGTGTTTTTCTGACCAATAGTGTTTCTGAGAATGTTATTTTTAGCCTTTGCGTATGGGTGACTTCTTGAATTGGTAACAAAACGCTTAATGTTTTCTTCACTATGCTAACTCTTCTCATTTATCCAACAAACCTCCCTCTTCTTATTATTCTTTCCTTTGAGATGAATTTCAAATTCTGAATGAAATATTTTAAGAATATTTGCATGGGAAGAGGATACCATTGTCTAGCCATATGCTTGTATATAGTAAATTCTGTTAACCACTTAGTAAATTTTGCTTTGCACACATTGATGTCTAGCAAGTTTTCTCTACTCTGTTTTCAAAAGTTTTAGAAATAAAAGCCAAAGGAACATTTAAAAGAGATAATCAGAATATTAATGTATACCTTATGACTTAACCATCTTTGAAAGCAAAACCTAGGGAGTATAGCTTTCTAATGAAAAAAATTAATGAAAAATTGTGAATGAATTTGTGTCAGGGTTTTATTCCTTCATCTTCCTTCTCTAATGTTTCTGCTTCCACTGCTGACTTTGTCTTCTGTGCATCTTAGGTGCCTGGTGCTCTGACGTTCTTGTTTATCTTTTACACTAGTTCTCCCTCCAAGAAGAATTTAATTCTTCAGTTAATTAAAAGCACAAATATGATCAAATTATTAAAACAAGGATAAAAGTTAAGCCATAAGATAGTAGAGGATAGGACTAACAGTAAGCAGCTATTAGTAACTAAGGAGTCTAGAAAACACGACAGTTGATTATAAAACTTGGTCCTAAGCAATCCGGTTGTACAGAAAGATGAGGTTTTTGTCGCCTTATCATTATATAATAAATTGTAACATACAAGTTGTGATGCTCATTCATCCACAGAGAAAACTTTTTCCTGACTGTGAATACTGAGGTAAATTTTTCATACTGTTTTTTATGTAGGGAGTCAACATAAGAAACAGTATTCTTGATCATGTTATTACACAATCGATGATGAAATGTACATGTAGTCATCTCTCAACAAAACTCAAAAGCATAATGTTAAATTATATAAAGGTAGTGCTGGTATACTACAGTGATGTATCCTGGATGCAATACTTTATCATTTCCACTGGATTGAGTGTTCCCAACCTTGTCAGTTAGGTATTTCTCTTTACTTCTTTTAGGTTTGTTTGGTTTTTGCTTGTTGTTTGTTTTTGCAGACACTTATATGTTAGTCACTGGACTATCAACGTCTATTGAATGAGAGAAAAAATAATGATAAAAGGCTATTATGAATTAACATTTTGTAAGAATATGTGTTTTACTAGCAAAAGCTAACTACTGTGAAATTAAGTTTAGTCTAAAGCTGCTTCCTTAAATATATTAAATTCAACCTAAAGGTTTCTTCATACATAGTGAACTGTAACCTAACTAGAAGTGTAAACAGACTATAAACTATAACCTATTCTTATACTAATCACCAAGTCTTGGCCAATGAAAGGTAGCCAGCTTCCAATCAGACAAACACTACTTCTGTTTTTTATGCATATAGGCACTTAAAAAAAATTGTCGATTTAAGTGGTACAAGTGCAGGTTTGTTCCATGAGTGCACTGCATGATGGTAAGGTCTGGGCTTCTGTTAAGCCCATCACCCAAATGGTGTACCTGGTACTCAGTGGGTTGTTTTCCCACCTGCCCCTCCCTCCTCCCTGTAGGAGCCCCATTGGCTGTTCCTATCTTTATGTCTGTGTGTCCTATAGGCACTTTTAGATTTTGTGTTGCCAGCGTGCACATCATTTTACGTACCTGTTGCTGTTTTCAGGCTGCATATGAGACAAGTCTCCATTTGCCCTTCCTTAGGAACAAATTGAAAGGCACCAAATATCCTTCAGGAACTCTGTATGATTAGGGTGCTGTAAATCTTATAAATTACATTTAGAGTTCATTTGTTTAGGAAACCGTAGTTGTATTTCATCAATGTACATTTCTTTAGTAATCAAATTTTGTAAAGAGCATAAATTTAATTTTGAACCACTGAATTCTGTAAGTTGTGTGCACTTAAATGTTTACACTTGTAATCAATGAAGTACGGTCACCTCTTAATTTCTTCATACATAATTTAAAAGGTTTCAGATTTTTGTTTTATCTTTGTATTTATAGCAAAAGAAGACTTCAATGAAGCAGGAAACTACCTAAAAGGATACGTTATCACCGGAATTTATTCTAAAGAAGATGTTTTGATACTGTGAGTTTATTGCTCTTTTAATTTTAGGGAGGAAGATGTTATGCAATATAAGGTGTTGCTTGCCTTTACACAGCTGGATGAAGGAAGATAGGGTGGAAACATGTATTAATTTTTAATTTTCTTCTGGAAGATCTGGAACGTGCCAGGATGTTTAGGTTCTTTAGATATTATTTTACTGTAGGTCAAAGTCCCTATGGGGTCAGTCTTGGATTCATAATTTATCATCCCCTTATAAAAATTTTCCTCTTAGAGTTTTCGTTCCCACAATTTTGGTTCTCTAAATTGTCGTAATCTTTGGAGAGTTCTAAACTCTCGAGCATTTATGTTTTTTTGCCACCAAGGTTTATATTTTTAAAATCAGTAGTTTTTTTGCCACTTAAGTTGCTTTATTTGTAGAACTACCAAAATATTTAAGTTGCTGTAGAATGAAGGACTGACCTGCAGATTTGGAGATTATTATTAGTACATAACACATTCTATATCCTTGGGCTATTTTCTGGTGCAAGTAGACTTACCTCAGTAAGCCCAGTAGTTTGTCTTTCCTCCTTTCTGTTTATGTTATTCTAATTGTGATTTCTCAAGCTTAAATCTTTCATCTTGAACGCTGGTGACACATGCTGTTAACGCTCAAGCTTTTGTTTTATCTGTGAAACCCATGTCATTTGTGATATCTGTGAAATCAGTAAGTTTTAAAAAGTAGGAAATGTGAGCCCTATCCATCGGACAGTGGATAATCTTCCACTATCTTCTACTCTGCATCCCTGTGCATGCATTTAGCATATTGTCCAAAGAGCTAGACCGGCCGGGTTCGGTGGCGCAGCCTGTAATCCCAGCACTTTGGGAGGCCGAGGCAAGTGGATTGCCTGAGCCCAAGGGTTCGAGACAACTTGGCGAGACCTCATCTCTACAATAAACCAAAAATTAGCCGGGCAGTAACGCATGCCTGTAGTTCCGGCTACTTGTAAGACTGAGGTGGAGGGATCGCCGGAGCCCAACTGGTTGAGGCTGCGGTGGACGGGAGCATGCCACTGCACTCCAGTCTGGGCGATGGAGTGAGACTCCAACTCAAAATAAAAAACAAACAAACAAAAAACTCTAAAAGGCCAGGTGCAGTGGCTCATACCTATAATCCCAGCACTTTGGGAGGG